TCCCCTCGGCAAACATCAGGGAACAAAGGATCAATTAAAATGTCCAACAAAACAAGGAAACCTTCGGGAGAATCACCATCATTACTCCTTTTCCCTCAAGTACTTTTTGGCAAAAGGAGTGGGGGACTCCTGATGGAGTATATGGACCGGGGACCCCCGACCCACAGACTCCTACTTCTCCTACACAGGCCCATCAAGCCCAATGAGCATACAAAGCCCAAACACAACGGCCCAAGCGTGGAGAAACCCATCATACGCATAAAGGTGCCTTCGGCCTCCTTGGCCGAGGGCTCCAAACTCCAGGAAACTACCGATTTTAAGCATACAAAGCTGCTGGATGAAAACGACAGAAAACAGTAGCCTTCGGCTACTGAGTGCCCTCGGCCCACACCGAGCCTTTGACACATGAGAAGCCTTTGACCATATGATCCAGGCCGAATGGCCTACGCCCCACGAAGCTTCCTCTGGAGACAAGCAACCACCGCATTCAATGCGGCGTCACGTCCAACCACCGCATTTAATGCGGTGCACATGCAAATGCCGGTGCCACCCCGATTGAAGTGACCCCTCGGCCGTCAGATTGTTGACACGTGTACTCACATCGCATTTATGGCTGCTATAAATAACAGCCCTTTTTCCTCTTGCAAGACATGCTGAGTTCATTTAATAAATTTGACTCTCTCTCTCACTTGCTTGCTCTGACTTCTTTGTAGTTATTTCTCGCAATAACCCCTCGGATAAGCTACCCCCGGGTACACAATCCATCAGCTAACGTCAATGGATTTGGTCACACATGCCAGATGTTAGGTTTACACATGTGGCTTATCTAAGCAATCTGATACGCAACGGTAAAATCCAGTACAACAATACTAATGGAGTATATCGCCACATACCTCAGGGGTATCAATATTAATGATAAAAGATCTCTGGAATCCACCAAGTCAATTCCGGCTGAGGCCGAGCTCAAAACAAGTTCTCATATCATCGAGATAAGTCCAACAATGTGGCCGAGCTCTAGGCCAATCACCGTACTACGAGGCTAAGTGATTGACGAGAGCATTAGTGTTTCACATTATGACCCGAGGTTACCTTCCTCATGGCTTATTACATTGCTCCCGAGCTTGAGCTCTGCAACCGAGCACGGGACCTCAAATAGTGATTGTGGACTTAGACATTTCATCACTTGAATTCCACAACCATGAAAGACTATGTCACCAACGTGACAGTTGTCCAATGCCGACGTTATCCAGTCTGACACGTGTGGCTTATATATGCATTCCAATACATAAAGAACAATATCTGGTGCAACGGTATCAATCAGTCAGTTGTTGATTATTCTCTCACCAATTAGCTTTTACACGTGTCAATATCTTCTTAGGATAGTTATTTTACTTATTGCCCATGTATTTCCTTTTACACTATGAATATCATCTTCCAACTTGTGGAAAGGGATCGTCATTTTTTACTCTCAAGTTACTATTATGCTACCAAATTTCTAACTTGGTCTATACTTAGCATTTCTTCGGCTCTCCCTTGGTTTGTGCCTACCTATGGGTCATCAAAGCCATCATTTGATGTTTTCATTGAGAGATCGAATTTTAATCAATTTTATATCATCCCCAAAACAAGCTTCTCAGCATCGAAAATGGTGAAAAGAGCAACCTGGAACAGGTGTGCGGCTATGGCAGCTAACCCGGAGCCCTCCATGGAAACAACTGCCACTTCTGGCGTAAGGAGGGTTGCTGGAGACAAACAAGTGGCCTCCATCACTGAGGATCTTCGCCAGGAGATCCAGAAGAATTCTCTGGATCTGCGCCGCCAGATCTCATAGAGCAAAGATGCAGCGACAATGTCATCTGCTTAGGTGGTCCCGCAACTCCAACACTTTTTTATTGCGCGTCTCTCAGCTGTGGTTGGCTCCCTCATCTCTGGGTTGTAGCAGATTCTGTCGAGATTGAAAAACTAGGCGACAAATGGAGCAGTAAACATTGCCACTAGGCTAGTCTCTCTGGTGGCTTCAAGGCCACCATCTTTGAGAGTGGGATCGATCAAGGTTCCATGGTCAGATCAGCAGATTGAGTCGCGGGTATCTCATTCACCACCATTGCAGTAGCTTCAACCTTATGCTGCTACAGTGGTCCTCGTCGAGCCGTAGCAGGCGGATGCCGTCACTGTGGTGCCCTTAGCATGACAGGCTGAAACTGCTTGCCCTCAAGCAGTGCAACATTTCATGGACCCGCCACAACCCCCATTACTGCCGCCAAAATACAAGGCACGTCTCATGAAGTACGACTGCCACAATGATGAAGGCGTCTACACCATCACCACTCAAGCTTATATTCCCGAGAGAACTCCATCTCCCCGAAACCACAAGGGGCAAACCCCCATCTTCAACAGGTTGGACAATAGGGAATCTGCCCACCAATGCCTCTCGATGAACCTCCAAGATGCAAACCAGGTTTCCCCGAGCCCAGTCGTTCACATCGCCGCCAATAACACGAGGCGAGGACTTCAAAGCGCAACTACGCTTTGGAGGGGCAAGGGGATAATCGTTCTCCTAGATTAACCCCCACGCCAGCAGCAGCCTCCCTCTTCCGAGGCAGCAACACAACTCACCTTTGCACCAACAACGAATTTCTCCACCGAGGCAAAGGCAAAACTCTCCACCCCGCTGCTGTCGCCGGTAGACCCACGTGAGTAGGAAATCCATGCCCTCACCTATCAAGTGAATGAATTGCGGGCAGCAACAACGGCAACAATACCGACATCACGTCATCCTCCAACCGAGAATTCTCAACTAAAGGCGCTGGCGTGCCAAGTGCAGCAGCTCCACGCTCAGCTAAACCATTAACCTGACACCGTTACAGTAAGATCAGACACTTCCTTCACTGCCCCTATACCCCCAAAGTATAAGGGGATCAACATCAAGCTCTATGGGGGTAAAATTCACCCTCGTGGACACTACTCTCAGTACCAATCTGTCACGTTTATGTTTGGCGGTACCGATGAGTACATGTGCAGAATGTTCTCCTCCACTTAATTTCGAAGAGGGGCATATGACTGATTCAATGATCGCCAGAGGAGTCCATTGACTCTTGGTGTCAATTGACCACGAGCTTCCTCACCAACTTTGCAGGGAGGACTTGAATGAAGAAATACTTCTCCTACTTGCTCACTGTCAAACACGCAAAGGATGAGATGTTCAAGAAGTTCCTGGAGCACTGGAGAGACGAGACCTCCAAGGCTTACGATGGAAATCATCACACTCGTCTGCCCATTCTCAAGGGGGGGGGGGGGGGGTAATCCGTGTTGGTGGTTATGCCACAAGCTTGATAACATATCCCCAAAGGATTACCAGAAAGCTCTCCTCCAAGGCAAGAGAATACGTTGAGGCTGAGGAATTTCACAGTCAGAAGAGTGCACAGGGAATGCCTCCAAGCCTCTGAATCGAGAGCAGCAGGATCAAATTAACCGTCCAAAAAATGGCACAAAAAATGGAAGAGACGTGTCAAATAGTGCAATGATGGCGTTGAAAAGTATTCTCAGTCTTGTCTTAATGAAAAAACGGCTTAATAAATTCAAAATTACAAAAGGAATGTTTTACATTCCAATTGTACACATCAGCGTTACTACACGCAACAACATTAGTTAATGCGTCTCTCAAAAATCCCAAGTCCACCTAACCTTTTACAACGTGCACTACCTCGTTCCCCTCAAGCTCATACTATACTCTTCTGCACTTAGAAAAATTTCCAAGTCCATAAGAGTGGGGGACTTGTAAGTGAGGGACTCGAGCAAAGCAACGAGCAAAAATCATGAATAATTCAAGCTCATCTCAGATAGCAAACAACCTCGATTATTATATCAACCATGTATACCTTAAACCAAGCTCGTCATTTATTACATAGTATATCCGAGCTTGACCTCTACCACCAAGCTCAGGGCCTCATACAAAGATTGTGGACTTGTGCATTTCAACATTTGGATATGACAAACATTCAGGATTATGTAGTTGCGCGATAGCTGTCATAGAGCTGACGTCAACGAATTCTGTCAACACATGTCAGATGTCGGGTTTACATGTGTGGCTTATCCACACAATCTGATATGCAAGGACAAAACCCAGTACAACAGTACTGATGAAGTATATTGCCACATACCCTAGGAGCAGAGGTATCAATATTAATGATAAATGGTGTACAGAATCCACCAAGTCCATTCCGACCGAGGCCGAGCTCGAAACCAGTTCTCAGATCATCGAGATAAGTCCAAAATTGTATATGATCTCGAAGTCGACCATCGCTGAGGTCGGCGATACTGTGGCCGAGCTCGAGGCCAATAATGTTTCATATTATGAGCCGAGGTTACCGCCCTCTTGGCTGATCGCACCGCTCCCGAGCTTGAGCTCTGCAACCAAGCAATTGAGTAATTTTTGGTCCAAATCCGGACTCATTTACCCTTCGGGTCCTAAATATATATAAATAAGCAAAACGTTGTTCTCCATTACTCTGTACAACCGCATGAGGTATATACAATATACGTTATATGTATATATGTATATTAGTAAACTCATAGAGGACCCAGAGCAGTAACTCATTAGGGAAAACCCCATTGGGCCAACTAATAACTACACACACAATTATTAAAACTTTTTTTTAATATTTGTTTATTTTCCTTATTTTATGTCTAAATGTATCTATGTATATTGTGTGTATATATACAAACTTATAACTATCATTATATCGTCACGGGTCGGGTTCAAAACACGTCGGAACTTAAAAATCCATACCGACTCATTTTGTCTATCATGTAACAGGTTCGAATCCGGATATGGAAAATGATTCTAAATTTGACTCACACCCTCAAATACAGTGCCAGATTCGGATCGGGTCCGGGTCTAGACCCGACCCATTGACAGGCCAATGCGCGGGCCTACTCTAAAGCCCCAAAGTTTTCCGTGCTTTTACCGCAACCTCCTCCATCATCGCTCTCCACGTAGAGTGAAGGACTGATCTTATCCGTTCATTACTGTCCGAAGCTCGGGCAGGCAAGAAGGGATTGGAAGAAAAGAGCCGGGCAGATCTTGTTGCCTTAAAAGAAAGCTTGTGCTGGGATTTCCGGCCATGACTTTGAACGGTTTCCCGGCCGAGGGTCAGCCGTAGTCGCCGGAATCCCGCCTTTGCTGTCCTCATTCTCAGTTCCTATGGCATCGGCCGTCCTCGCTAGCAGAAATGAAGCGCATTGGAATGAACGGACGCTCTATATGACCCCCAATTCCGACAACCCTCCTCTCTTTTCCGGCCGAGTAAACCACGGCGCTAACCCTAGCCGTTATGCTCTTAACCCTACCAAACGGAACCCTGACTCTTCAACCAAATGTAGGAGCCGGCCTGTCATTGAGCGCAACGACTCCTTCCACCGAGAGTATGTTATCTTCAGACTGGGTTCCTGCGCGGGAAGGGAGATCAAGGAACTGCAACAACGCCTGATCTTTGACCTAGAGCGGGTGCGAGGTGTTCTGAAGCGGTTTGCGACTCTTGAGCTCCAACCTAGAGCTGTTTTCCGGCGGGCAGAGTCTCCATCACACCCACCGCCGCAGCCTGCTGTGGGCATTCTCGTGGATTGTCAAGCATCTGGAAATGCTGCTGGGCCAAATGCCCCGTGCTCTGAGCTTTCTGCCAGGAAGAAGAGCAAAGGTAAGCTCTCAGGTAAAAAACGTTCATTTCCCGTTGTTTCAGAGGGAGACTGGAAGTTACCCGCGGCTGGGCTGGATAGAGTTCTGGGAAGCATGAGGAGGAGGTGCTCCCATATCTTAACTAAGCTGATGAAGCACAAGTTTGGTTGGGTGTTCAACACTCCTGTAGATTATAAAGGTTTGGGGCTTCATGACTACCACTTGATCATTAAACGTCCCATGGATCTTGGAACAGTGAAATCACGGCTTGATAGGTACGAATACGCAACACCTCTGGATTTTGCTGCTGATGTTAGACTTACATTCAAGAATGCAATGTGTTATAACCCCAAAGGTCAGGATGTGCATGCCATGGCCGAACTTTTGCTCAACATCTTTGATGATATGTTCACTGTAGCCTGCTACAAACATGAAGCTGAGCACAAAAAGGCTTTTGCAGCAGCAGCTGGCAAGAATATTTGGACCCAACCAGAGCTGGCTGTGACCTCAAGATCACCACCAGAAGAACCAAAGCATGATCGTCCTCAAATTTCAGATACAGGACGCTCACTGTGTACTTCCTCAAATCCTCATCATATACCATGTTTGCCTGCCCCTATGCTTCCAGAAACAGCTTTGCTTGTGCCACAAAAGTCGGGTAAATTGTCTAAGCCCAAGGCCAAGGATCCAAACAAAAGAGAGATGACTTATGAGGAGAAAGCTAAGTTGGGGACTGACTTGCAGAACTTGCCACAGGATAGGTTGGATCATATGATGCATATTTTAAAAAAGAGGAATAGTTCTACTGTCTTAATGGAGGGTGATGAAATTGAACTCGACATAGCAACTCTTGACAATGAAACCCTCTGGGAACTGGATAGATTTGTGGGCTATCAGAAAAAGTATCTAAGCAAGATGAAGAGGCAAGGCCTCATCATTGGAGAAAATTTCATTGTAAATGCTTCTCAAGAGAACGTAAGAGGCATTTTTCTGTTACTTCCAGCATTGATCTTTTAAATTTGCAATCTTGGTGCTAGTTTTTCTAATCTTGTTTTTTGTGTCATCATTTAGATTGCTGGAGGTGTGCCGCCTCTGCAAGATCCGACAGCACATAGGGAGAAAAAAGATGAAAGTGGGGAAGAGGATGTCGATATTGGGGAGGAAAGTCCTATGAATAACTTTTCTCCAGTGAGGATTGAGAAGGATGTCAGTGAAGCTAACAGCTCAAGTAGCACAAGCTCAAGCAGTGATTCTTCTTGCAGTGGTAAGAAGCCCCAAATATGCTTCTAAAATGTGAGCATAGAGCAGCCCCAAAGCTGATAACATTTTGACTTTGCTACAGCTCAAGTATTTATATATTTAGGTGTGGTTTTGCAGATTCAGATTCAAGTTCTCGTAGGAGTGTTTCTGATGAGGAGGGTGATGTTGTAGTACAGTTGCACTTTGTTGATAGAGAAGAGCCACCTAATGAGGTTGAGTATTGAGAAGAGAACTATGGAAAGTGAGGGAGGAAAAGAAGCAGTTGTATGCAAAGATAAGCTGTAGTATTTGTAAAGATTGTGACCAGAAATAGAAACTACCATTAGGGGTATGCGTAACTGAGATGATTTGTAGTTAGCTAGCTATATGGGAGTAGGGGATTGCAGAACTTTGTGGTGGTGGTTGTGTGTTGGGAGGCTTGCAGAGTTCCTAGCAGGAGAGAAATGTATCTAATTATTTTTGTTCGTTAATAGAAAGTCATGTTGCTTGGTAACATTAGAAGTATGATGTACAAAATGAAAGAAGCATCATGTACTGGCCCAAAAGGTCAAAATTGATGAAGGATATTAATCATTGTGATGAACATCTAGAGTTCTACTCTGTTACGTATTTGATGGAATTGATGGTCGTTAAAGACTTCAGTACTCCATAGTAAAAAATTACTAGTAGGATTTAACTGATAGGCAGACATGCCAAACCGCAAAACAGCCCTTGTATAATAAGAAGCTGTTCCGTTCGTCTTAATCTTATTACTTATTCCTTAATCTTATTTTATTCAGATCAGATCAGAAAGATTCAGATCAGATCAGATCAGAAAGATTCAGATCAGATCAGATCAGAAACATTCAGATCAGATCAGAAAGATTCAGATCAGCAACATTCAGATCAGATCAGAAAGATTCAGACCAGATCAGACTAGATCAGAAACATTCAGATCAGATCAGAAACATTCAGATCAGATCAGGTCAAAAAATTCAAACATGATTTATCACTTTTATTATTATATTAATTATGATTATTATATTATAGTTATTGTTAATAATATTAATATATTAATATAATAATATTATTAATAATAATATAATAATAATAATATAATAATAATGTTAATAATATAAAATTATTATTATATTATAATAACATAATATAATATAATATAATATAATATAATATAATATAATATAATATAATATAATATAATATAATATAATATAATATAATATAATATAATATAATATAATATAATATAATATAATATAATATAATATAATATAATATAATATAATATAATATAATATAATATAATATAATATAATATAATATAATATAATATAATATAATATAATATAATATAATATAATATAATATAATATAATATAATATAATATAATATAATATAATATAATATAATATAATATAATATAATATAATATAATATAATATAATATAATATAATATAATATAATATAATATAATATAATATAATATAATATAATATAATATAATATAATATAATATAATATAATATAATATAATATAATATAATATAATATAATATAATATAATATAATATAATATAATATAATATAATATAATATAATATAATATAATATAATATAATATAATTATAATTATAATTATGATTTACAATGTAATTATAATTATAATCATCATTATTATTAATATGATTGTTGTTCTTGTTGTTATTGTTGTAATTATTATTACTTCGGAGTAATTATATATTTAAATTAGTAATTATAGACATAATTATGACTATAGAAATAAATATTATAATTATAATTACAATAATAATAATTATAAAATTAATCATAATTAAAAATATAATTACATTTATAATTGTATCAGTATTTATAATTAGTGTAATTGGTATAATTATTATAATTTTAAATTTAATTTTAATTATTATTTTTTTATAATTATGATTATAATTGTAATTTTATTTAAGTTATATTTTTAATTACAATTATAAATCTAATAATTATAATTGCAATTACAATTACAATTATAGAAATATTCAAATCAGATCAGAAAGATTCAGATCAGAAGAATTCAGATCAGATCAGAAACATTCAGATCAGATCAGAAACATTCAGATCAGATCAGATCAGCAACATTCAGATCAGTTCAGCAACATTCAGATCAGATCAGAAAGATTCAGATCAGATCAGAAAGATTCAGATCAGATCAGATCAGAAAGATTCAGATCAGATCAGATCAGAAAAATTCAGATCAGAACTTAAAAAATTCAGATCAGAAACATTCAGATCAGGTGAACGGAACAACTTCTAAGTTTTGCTCTATGAAACTTCAACTAGATCGACCACCACCGTACACTGTGACTGCTGCCCAGATTCAACCATAAATGCTACTTAAACTACAGTGCCATACTCGGATAATTACCACTGAAATGTTCTCATCTTGATATTGCCATATTGGGTCTATAGACTAACGGCCAGTAGTTGGCTAGCTGTTACGATAAGCAAACACAATTTGTTTTAGATTTATTATTGGAAAGCTATTTATTATTTGAATTATATGAATAAATGATTCATGTAATTGATTACAAAAAAAATCAGATTTCAGGCGCCCAAAAGTATGGGGAATAGGCACTGACCAACTAGTTCTTATTCTGGTACTGGTCTTCTGTTACAAAATCGAGTAGGAACTGGAACTGGATAGAGAAACCACCTGTCCTACATGGAACCAGGCCAGTTTCACAAGTTCTGGTCATGACTACTACCTTTAGGGGGGAGAATCGGCTTGTGCCACCCTTAACTAGAAAGTAACTCAAAATGGTAGTCTTAACCACTTAATTTACGAAAACATAGGAAGAGCAAACAAAAAATACAGTTAGGTTAACAATCCTAGCATAACCACTCAAGTAGCAGTCAAATTTGCAATTGATTACAATACTGTTTAGTTTATGCAAGAGAGAGCAGTAATTCAAGCTAAATGAAAAGATATACCCTATAGTGAACTCATTCAATGCATTACTAGCGTGTAAATATACTGGTAGAGGGACTGCAATCACAATTCACAACCTATAGTTTGGTTCAGTTTATGCACTTTAGGAACTATAAAACAAACTTGATTTGACAATAAGAAGCCCAAAGGCAGCCCAAATTATTGAACCAATTTCAGACAGATAAAATGCAAGCCCAATTCCTTAGCAGCAGTATCAAGAGATTCTAAAGACATTCCACTTGCAAGTCGGCTATGAGCTTCCCAATTCATACACTTCTCTATGTCAGTTTGCCAGTCGATAAAGCCTACATTCAAGCCCTGATATGCAGGATTGTGGGTGCCAATTATATTCACTGGCTTCACTCTCGGTTGGACTGAACCTATATGCAGAATTGCATGAAGAACTGATGTGCTGAGAGCACGAACATGAGCACTTGCATGAGAAAGACAACAAACTGTGGCTGCACACTGTAAGGGCATTGACAAAATTGAATGAGTCAAGTGTTCTTTATATTCTAATGAATTGGGTCTAATGCAACCCAAAAAAAGATCCTCAAGAAGTGAGGTATAACTCGTACTTATAGATTAGACACATTTGATTAACACCCGAGGCGGACACTTTACAACATCTCATTGATCCAAACCGGGTTGAACAACTTGAGGGGGGATTAATGTGTGTCAAAATGGCCTGAAACGGCTTACCCAAACTATGGCCCCTAAACACACAAACTTCAATCAGACATATGAATTACCGCACAATTAGCTAATTCATCTAAAAAGAATTCTACTTTGTAAAAGGGGAGATTTACCGCACAATTACATACTATAGACATATCTATAACATCTAATGTGTGAAACTTCAACATGTTCATACTAAATTTGAAATAACTATGTGCAAGTGCAATTTATGTCATGAAAATAGATCTCCATGGGAGTTTTGATTTTCGTTGTCCAAAAAAATCCATCAAATTATCAAATACACTTTTTTTTGTTGATTTTAAAAAATCTCATGTTTTTCTAGTAATACACAATATGGGAAAATTTTATCCTCCAATAAAGAATGTATACACGCTCGCGTATTACCTTCACAAGATTTGAGAGGCCATTTGCAACTGCCAATCCAGATTCTCCCCACCCGAGCACTGGTTGAACTGCTCCAGCTGCCACTTCCAGGAGCTGCTCAATGATTTCCACAACATTATGGGCAACACACAATTTTTATTTGCTAAATTTAAAAGAAATAATTACCTCTAGTTGAGTTAAGGTGCATGCTGCACCATCAACAAGAATTCCGCGTAAAAGAAGGTCTGATGCGCTGGCAAGAATTACAATGGGGTATCATGATTTCTCATCACCTCTGCAATCAATTTCACAATCCGTTGGTTGATTCTACACATCTTGCCGTCTTCATCTTCTTGAGCAATCCATGGATGGATTTCCCTCTCCGCCTAACAAGTAAACAAAGTAATAAACATATCTACACAAAAAAGATGGTAATATTTCCACTGAGCAAAAAATGATTTCAAACATATATCAATACCACACAATTTGGTGAATGATGCTTACCACGGAGACAACAATATTATACCTAATACACACAAACACATCCAGCATATACAAACATGAGCACACATGTAGAAATTGAGTTGCACTAATGACATTCATGTTCGACATACATGCACATATGCAGATCAATAATATATGGAGTTGAAGAAAAGAGAAGTGTTGAAATCACGACGGTAAAAAAAAGAAAGTCAGTATGAAAGTTCAAGTAAAACAAAATCTAGACCTGAAGAACAATGGCCGCTGCAGCTTTTGCAGGAGAAGCCACTACAACATTGCATAGTGCATCGACTACCTGCAATTAAAGCAGATTGCCTTGAAAGTATGAAGCAAATACGTGACATTTCCTTTGGTATCAGAAAACAGAAAATGGTATCTGCAGTGAAAGCATGGTCCCGAGTAGCATCACTGTACAAGTGGGATAACTGTATTGTATAAAATTGGAGCTCTGAAGAAGTTTATCATCAGAGCAAAATAAAATTAGATACAATTGCAAAGAGAATTATGTTACCACCTTCAGTTTTATAGTCTCTCGGTATTGAAATGTTTGCTACACTTTCCTTTTTGGGATGTATTGTAATTTTTGCTACACTTTCCCTTTTTTGGTAAGTTTTCCCTTTAAAAATACTCAATTACCCTTACTTTTTCTACTTTTTATTTTTTCTTTCATACTTTTCCATACTCTCTCCTACTTTTTCTACACTATTCATTACTCCTACTACTTTTTCCTTGAACATAGTGCCAAATCCTATTGTAGCAAACATTTCAATACAAATGGAGTACTTGTTTTTCATGCTTTGAACAGGAAAATAGATATCAATAACCACTTGAAGAATTTTCTGCCATTCCTCTAGTTCAGATATCCAATATTCGTAAAGCATTTTGATTATCATTTTTTAATAAATCAGATTCTACCATTCAGCCATTTCAGACACAACATAAACAATTTCAGTCACCTCAGCCATTTAAGCCTTACCAAACAGACTCTTAGTCAGTCTCAACCTATTTGGTATGCCTGCCTTACCAGCCATATTTTTACCAAACACTATATTTTTTGCCTTCCGGAAACAGCCTCTATGTGCTATA